AAAATATAACTTATTATCATTCTAAATTTTGTTATTATAATTTTAGTTTTTATAAATGACAATAATTTAAAAATTAAAAATAATTTTACGTGTTAAGGGGAAATGAGACTTTCAACAACAGTTTTGTCAATTAAATTATTATGGAAAGGAAACGGTTTTTTTTAATTGTAATAAGCTCAAAAGTATAATAAATTACACTTCTTGTAAAAATCAAACATTAGTAATATTGAAAAAGCACATTAGAAGAATTTGTTGCATGTCCCTGAAGTATGATAATATTTTTTACTTACAGGGGCAACCGTTAAAGACGTGTTTTTATGACCTCGACGATTTTCGTTTGTTAAAAAAAAATGGATCAAAGAATTTGTATCAAATTTTGATTAAAAAATGAACTAAAATATGTGAAATATTAGCAGTGGCCATATGTAAAACGAGGGTTTACGAGTGGTATAAGCGTTTCCAAGATTACGAACGCCCCGGATGCCTCAGCACATTAACAACTGATGAAAACGTGGAAAAAATAAAAGAAATGGTTATGAACAATCGCCGAATTACAATCAGAGAAGTTGCAGATGATGTTGGAATATCGATTGGCTCATGCCATGTAACTTTTTCGAATGTTTTGGGTATGAAACGCGTAGCAGCAAAATTTGTTACAAAATTGTTGAATTTTGAATAATGATAGTGGCGAACGGAAGTTAATCAGGAGTCACCTAATGAAGTCAACGACGATACCGAATTACTGAAACGTGACAGGGGAAGAAACATTAGTTTACGGATATGACGTCAAAACTAAGGCTAAATCGTCCTAGTAATTGCATTCTGGATCGCCTAGACCAAAAAAGTCTCGAGAAGTGAGATCGAATTTGAAGGTTATGTTCATTGTGTTTTTCGATTTTAAAGGCATAGTGTATCATTATCATCAATAATAGTCAATATTCCGTATATAATAATATATACGGTCAATAAAGAGTAATACCTACAAATTCAATGCCATTTGCGTGAAGCCATCCGAAAAAAACGCCCGGTATTGTGGCAAAACCATTCATGCCTTATTAACCACGATAATGCATGAAAATGAACTGTATTTACTTTTTATTTTGCTGGTCGGTCGGATTTCATTGGTTTGTCAAATAATAATAAATTTTACACAATGACAATTTAATTTTTAATTTATTCGAAATGCTACTATATTTATTTTTCACTTTTTAGTTTCATATTATGATAGTAGTTACTATCAATATCATGGTTGTAATGGATAACTGGAAATCAGGGTTCGATTCTGGGGAGGGAGCTGAGAAACGACTACTACATCCAAGGAAAGCAGCACACGTTCAGGTTAGCGTATCTATTGAGCTTTGGCCCCATACTGAAATGTTTATTTGGAAAAAACTCGCGTAATTATGCATCATTACTTTGTTTCCCAAAAATAACTGCTTATTAGTTGGGACATCAAAAATCTGGGTAAAATGGTTCATGACCAATATGTCAATAAAATTTATTAAACTTCTAAAAACCTTGGTGCTTTAAATAAACACAAAAATGTTTAAATACAAAACTCAAAACGCAGTTATATAGAACTTAAATTTTTTTTATTCGAGTTGTTCTTATTTGTACAATAGAATTGTAGTAAAAACAAATATTCATTAATATGAATTATTTAGAAATTAATTGGATTTTATAGATTATTTTATTCGTATGTTAATATATAGAAGAAATTAAAAAAAAAAATTATAACGCTTTATATATATATTTTATACGAATTGGACAAAATTAAAATAATCTTTGTATAATATTGCGGCACTTTCGTAGGCGTCAGCGACGCGGTTTCCGGCAAGATTCTCGGGCGTTGAAAAGTTAGCAGCGTTAATGGCGACGGTTTTCGTACCCGTACACGCCTGCGTGTAATCAATATTATATATATATATATATATAAATAAATTATTATTGTTACACGGCCACGCCACTCGTGCCACCTTTGATAGCGTCGCCCTACTATGAGTATTTTTGTTTGACTGTCCAACACCACCTGCCACCACGCGCCACCATATGCCACAGTGCAATGTCCAACAAGTGCCGAACGGAGACGACGTCCCGCCGCAAATGATACGTGGATTTTTCTTCTGTTGTCAAAGTGACAACGTCCAAGATGTGCGCCACCGGCTCCGGACTAGACGGAACAAACCACACCCGCGCACCGTTACCATCAACGCTGATAACTTTTCGACGCCTGAGGATCATATCGGACACCGCTTCGCCGACGCCAGCGAAAGTGCCGCGATATTGTGCAAAGATTATTATTAATTGTGTTCGTCTATTCGGTTTGATTGTTTTTTTTTTTTTAATAATCTATTGTTGCTTATTAATAAACAATCAACGTGTCTCTACCCTCAAAACTAGTGTCGACTACATTATTACGACGTAAGTCCGTGTCAAGACCAAACCAGTGTATTCTTTGTGTGTATATTATGTTGCGTTTTAGCAAAACTTTTCTTACTTAGCTTAAAACGTACATTTTTTTAAATTACCAATACTTTGCTAATATAATTCACATATTATTCAATCTTTTATTAATATATATCTTATCATTTTAAACAAACACTTTTAACAACTACAGGTCACCAGCCGATATTCTATCATCATCGATGAATACCAAGTAAGAGTAGTCTTAACTCGCTAACTACATATATTAAGTAATAACCATAACCTAACTTAAAAATAAACCCCTACTTATCATCTTTCTTTTGGTTATTACAGTAAATATAAAATATATAAATTAATAGATGTGAATAATGAATACATATCATTTGGATATTTTATATAACGTTAAAATAGTATGTTTAGTCATTTAAAATTATGGTTGACACATTGTGTTTTGTTATTAAGATAAGAATAAAAAGAGCTGACGAGTAAAATGTATATATTTCATCTCCAAAAAGAGTTATTTTTAAAGGTGACTAATAATCGAGTGTAATATAATATAATTTGCGTTTGTTAAATAACACTCCGAGTTATTTATTAAAAATTATCTGTTTTAAAAATAATCATGTTAGTCTAAGAATATGATATAATAAAAATTGATCACTTGTGGCTAATTAATTAAGTACTTAAGAATATGAATACAATTTATAAATGAAAAACCATTATTGTGGATACAAACGAAGGAGCCCATTGTTATTTCATATTGTGATAGTGACAAGTATATTACGACAATAAACAATCCAAAAATTATCTTAGCTTAACAACAGACTCTTGTCGTACCATTCCTAGCTCAACAATCGCCTTCACACGAGTTGAATTAATAACTTATTATTGTCATATCTCTCTTTTAACATTTTTCACACGCTTTCATAATTATTTGCTGTTGCTTCTAAACTTTTAATAATATCTTGACAAAGATGAGTGCACATAGCAAAATTTCTGAATTTCCGTCAAATCCGTATTAATATCTATAAGTTTAGAAAATAAATCATAAAAAAAATTCCATTCACTGTATTCGCCAGCTAATACAGGAATGCTTATAGGGACTAACATAACGTGAGGGATAAACTTATACTCTGTGGACAACTATATTAATTTCCTTAAACATCTCTATTTTCGGTTTTTGATGAACTAACCATACCAATTACTTTATTGGCTTTGGTCATTCCTCTATAATATAACTCATCTCATTTCTCTCGATATATCTCCTGCTCCTCCCAGTTAATCCCCTCTTCAAGTTCTATGGTCCCTTGAACAACTTCAAAATCTCGCCAAACTGTCTCTTTTTTTTCTATTCGTTATGAAATTTGCTCTTCTGAGACTTTATCGTAGCTTAAATATTTTTCAAATTTTACTATAAAAATAAAAGAGATAAATTGCTCATGTAAAAGCGTGTGGAGTGAGTTAATGAATTAAAGAAAGAAAAAGCCAAAATTTATATTTCAATACTTTTAGAAACATATTTATATTTTATTTAGAGACCGATATTCTTCCGATATAAGTGGCACGGGTCGCGGGGCTCCGTGTATCAAAAGCGACGTGGGGCCTTATAAAAAGTTAGGAAATTATTTTTATTATTAACATACTTTTATTTAAAAATCATAAAATGTTTTTTAAATCAAAAAAATAAAAACTATCTGAAAAATAAGTTTATTTGAATCTTTGATAAATAACAATTAATCTAATAGCAAAATTTGTTCAATCACTATTTGTCATGCAGACGACTGACAGTATTTTTTTCACAATTCACACTTCTAAGTTCGACGTTATTACAAAACATTTTCTTATAATAAAATGTACTGATTGGATATAATCATTGATACTAATCCCTCTAACCACACGTGACTTTATGACACAACAAACACGCTTACTAAAATGAACAAAAACTTTACTGTGTTATATAATTGATGACTAGTCATTATTTATATTATTCGCAGATGAAACTATCGAGTATACCGACTAACCGAGGGCCTGTATCAATAATTAGGACCCTTACCGGATAATAAGCCTAAAACTTGACTATTTTGGATTCATACGAATATTGTTAAACTATCATAATGTGAGAATTTTATATGAATCCAATTAATATTAATAATCGGGCGGATCTATTTGATGAACGAAACATCTGTTTAAAGAACGGGGCAATTAGAATATAATCAGTATATAGCTAACATATATCTAGCTACTCGGTAGAAAAACGCTTAGTAAAATTTTACCATTGAGTAAATATTTAAAGTTGGATTAGGTTTCATGTTAAAATAAAATTATTAAAAAATTCGGTGTTTAATATAATAATTGAAATTTATTCCGTGATAAAATATTATTATTTAATTATTTAACTTAAATTAAAAAAATCACCAAAACAAAATTCTCTTAAATTCTTCTAAGTATTATTTAAATTAAAAAAGTCCTAAACGATTAAAAAAAAACTAATTGTTTTTTAAATTTAATAGATAACTAAGTCTCAGAGTGCAATTTTTTTTTTAACTTTTGTAATAACCTGAAGAACTGGTTTTATAAAAAAAAAAATATGGTTTTTTACAATTCAAGGATGGTAGTCGAACGATCCCTAGCCAAACATTGAAAACTGAAAATTTCATTCTAATTGGCTAATTGTGATAGACGTTTAGGGGTTCCTTTTAAATTTGTATAATAAAATGATTCTGTTTGAAAGTTAAATAGTTATTTTGTGTGTTAAAGAAGAGAACTCTATTTTGGTGATCTTGTATATTTATAATATTGATAACATATTCAAAATAACAAAGATTACAATAACAACCGTTAAAGTGTCCGTGCTAAGACACTCTTGAACTACACAATAACATAAAACAAATATTATATGATTACAACATTAAAATAGAATGTAAATTTTAATAACAATAATTGCTTAAGAAGCGTATCCAATGTTAAACATATTAATTATTCGTAATATAATTTAAAAAAACTATCTATTTAATTTTTTTTTATATATATTTTATTTATCTTTTAATGGATTTAACTAGCTTACACTTACCCAATTTTAAAAGAAATAAAGATAAAACAGAAAATAAAATTTATAATAGTTGCTTATAGAACTTACCAGGTTGTATCATTCTTTGATACCTCTTTAGTACGAGATCATTAGGATACGCATTTCGTAACTCTGGTGTGGGTTCAAGTTTCAAATGAAAATAAAAAGTCGCTAAATAGTCTCTTAAAACTGACATCAAGTTTAATAGTATACCGGTTAATTTATATGTATTGAAACCCATATTAATCTGTTCTAGGTAACCATCTATAAAGGTTTTAAATTCGTTTTCTGGTTGAAAGCAGTTTGCTGCTATGAAATCGTTCGTAGTTGACTGTATATTGTTAAGATGTGCATCAATATCTTGGTCACTTAAAGTTTGTGTACCTAGGTTTATCAGATTATCTGATACTGAATAAATTCCATTATTTGTTTCTACGTTACTCATATCCGATAAATTTATTAATTGCGACTTCCAATTTTTTATTACTTCTGTAATTTCCTTCAATTCAATCTTCAAATCATCTTTACATGACTCAACGACTTCTTTTACGGCGAGAACTTCACATTTTTCTTTTAAGCATTTCGCTAATTCTGAATACTACAAAAAAAAATTTGCACTATTGCAGCTTAGTAGTAAATGCATCTGTTTTGCCTTATTACTAAATGTCTCGTTTGTGATTGATTCAGGATCGGATATTTCTTCTACGGTGACTTTATTACCATTTTCATTAATACATAAAAATGTCTTTAGAGTTCTCCATATTGGTTGTTCGCATATTTTCTGTAAGAATTTAACATTAGCATCATTCGCATTTATCATACCAATGGCGTTGACGATACATAAAATAAAATATGAATATTCTAAATGCATTTTTTATGTTCGATATGAAATTCTTTTTAAAATTATTATTTTTTTTTAAATACGTGACTTTTATATAAAAATGAAATAATGAATTTTATATCTATAAAACAATATTTGTATAATGTAAACAAATAAAGTATCATAAACTATATAAATTATAATAAAATAAGTGATACCACGCCGAATTTGTCGAAAAATTATACAAAAATGTTCTGCTTGAAAATTATTAAAATTGATGGAAAAAATGCAATTTAGCTCCAGCACCATTTTTTTCTTTTGACTTAATTGTTTTCTGTACACAATTCGAATATTCAAATATAAATCGCCAATAAAAAAATTTAACAAGTTTTATCATTTTAAGTTTGCATATAACGCTGTTTAATATTTAAATAATTTTTATAACACATTGAAAGAATCAAATTTATTGTAAGAAAATATTATTGTTGGGAGTAGATTTTTGAGGTAATGTTCTTAAGTTTATTATCTTACTTATTATTATTATTTTACCATTAATTGGATAATGATCTTAATAAAAGTTTGTCAGGTAGATTAAGCAGTATTGTATTGTTATATTTTTGTTATTACAATTTTTACGTGGAAGAATTTCACGCGCTGAACTAAAAAACGTTGAAAAATGTACGGTTATCCAAAATTTTTGAGTTTTCAATCTTTAGGCCTTTTATGGCACGGGTTAATATTTTCTGATTTACCTGAAACATTGCGTACCTCATTTTTATAAGTATTGGAACTAATTTTGATTGTATAATTTTAGAAAAGTTAAGTTTTTTAAATGATCCCTATTCACTAAAAGCACCCTAATATACTGGTGTTCAGTAAGTCAAGTAACGGGTTTCTGACTTACTGAACACCCTGTATGTATATATATATAATAAAAAGGAAAAACGTAAATTATTTAAAAAAAAAAATTTTTTTCATACCTACTAAATGTAACATGTTTTTTGACTTTTGTGATTGATTACTCATAAAGAATGTCACGGGAATGTTTTACTTTATTTAACTTACAGAACACAAAATCATCTGTAATTTGATATAGGTTTAAAGAATGTAGCTTTTTTAGAACATTATTAAAAATTGAAGAGAATAAAATTTTGATATGATTTTCAAGCCCCCACAGTAACTTGCATCTAGTTAATCATTGAACTTTCTAAAAAAGTATTTCTTTCTCAAGGCAAACGTTTGGAGTATTATCGATAAAAATTCTGATTGATCTGGTCAGTTTTTTAATAATACATTATATTTTCAAAAATGTCTATAAATATAAAGTGAAAACTAAAAATGTCAAATTGACTGTTTATGATAACTGTAATTAATTGCGATATTTCTCTTTGTTAACGAGACTAAGAGGAACATTTCAAAATTATGGCACCACTGGAAATATTTTGTGAAATCTCCACGTATTTATGAGCAGATTCGGTCCAGTGGGAGTAGAATTACTCGCGTATAAGTAAGCAAAAATGAAACGCGGCAAAGTAAAACCAAAAGTTTGTCAGCTGTGCATCGAAGCTATAAAAAAATTATTTTTTCTTATACTGAGGGTCAAATAAAATATATATATATATATATTTATACTTAACGAGAAAAAAATACGTAAATAAATTAGAAAAAAAAAAACTTACTTTGATGCATCGTTTCTAAAAAAGCTATAACTTATTAAAGTAAAAAATATGTAGAAATTTACCGATTTTAAAATTCGTAATTTGTTGGCCGATATTTCATTACACGGTACATTTTTTGTTTATTGAACGCACATTGTATGCATTGCGTGCTTTGTAATCAATACAACAATTTATGAAAACAATTTAATTTTAAATAATATGATTTGATTACGTACAATCTATGAATGATTTTTATATATAAAAAATTCTATACACTACATATTTTATACATCAAAAATATATCTCTAATAACATTCCTTTATTTTTAATTTTGTCAAATAAGATTAGTTTTTGTTAGAGAAAAATTATTTTATTGTGGTANATTTTGTCAAATAAGATTAGTTTTTGTTAGAGAAATATTATTTTATTGTGGTGGGATAGTGTCCCTATGGTAGCGCAATAATCATTCTATACTAATGTAATGACTAATTGCTCACTTTTCTTTTTATTTGACGGCACAATATTTGTTTGAACGAGGTCATTAGAATAAATTCAATATATAGCTAACACAGAGCTAGCTATTCAGTAGGAAATCTTACAATACAATTAACCATTGAGTAAATATTTAGTATTGAGTTTGGCTAACTGTAAATATAAAATAATTGAAAGAAAAAAACGATTTTTATCATATTATTTTACATTTATTTCCATTATTGAACAGATAGTGTACATTATTTAATGAACAAATAAACTTAAAATAACAAAATTAACTTTTAAAAACTTTTATTATTATAAGTCTCAGATAGTAAGTTATTTTTCTAAACTTTAAGAAAGATGTTTTTAATAGGAAAAAACGGCTGTATAATAATAATGTATAATAAAAGTTCTGTATAATAATTTGATTTTGTCACATAGTTACTAGTTTTTTAATTTTTTATCGGTTTTGATGATCTTGTATATTCATAATATTAATAACAAAATCAAAAAATAAGATTACAATAACGACCATTATAGAATGTCTGTATCACGACACTCATTAATTACATAGATCGTATCTAATGATTTTATAAAATACAATTAATGATAATTTCTAATTTCAACTGTAATAAGATAAAGAAAATTATCTTTTTAAAACATTAAAGTAGAATGTTAATTCCTATAACTACTATTTCTTAAAAATCTAATTCTATTTTAAAAACGTTAATTATCCGTAATATATATAAATCAAACAAATTACTATATATTTAATCATATTTTATTTACATTTTAAGGAATTTTTGAAAAATAAGAGCCATCCTAGGATGTTATCCTAAGCTAACATATATCTAGCTACTCAGTAAAAAAACACATAATAAATATTTACCATTGATTAAGTATTTAATGTTGGATTAGGTTTAATGTTAAAATTAAATTATTAAAAAAATCGATATTTAATATGAGAATTGAAATTTATTCCGTGATAAAATATTATTATTTAATACACAAAGAACCTTATATAAAAAATCACCAAAACAAAATTCACTTTAATTCTTCTAAGTATTATTTAAATTTAAAAAGTCCTAAACGAATAAAAAAAAAAAACTAATTGTTTTTTAAATTTAATAAATAATTAAGTCTCAGAGTGAAATTTTTTTTTTAACTTTTGAAATAACCTGAAGAACTGGTTTTATAGAAAAAAAATATGGCTTTTTATAATTCAAGGATTGTAGTCGAACGATCCCTAGCCAAATCTTGAAAACTGAAAATTTCATTCTAATTGAATCATTGTGATAGGCGTTTAGGGGTTCCTTTTAAATTTGTATAATAAAATGATTCTGTTTGAAAGTTAAATAGTTATTTTGTGTGTGAAAGAAGAGAACTCTATTTTGGTGATCTTGTATATTTATAATATTGATAACATATTCAAAAAAACAAAGATTACAATAACAACCGTTAAAGTGTACGTGCTAAGACACTCGTGAACTACACAATAACATAAAACAAATATTATATGATTACAACATTAAAATAGAATGTAAACTTTAATAACAATAATTTCTTAAAAAGCGTATCCAATGTTAAAGGCATTAATTATCCGTAATATAATTTAAAAAAACTATCTATCTATTTAATTTTTTTTTATATATATTATATTTATCTTTTAATGGATTTAACTATCTTACACTTACCCAATTAAAAAGAAATAAAGATAAAACAGAAAATAAAATTTATTCTGGTAGCATTTTTAACTCACTAGGATATAACATTCTTTGATACCTTTCCTCTATGAGTTTATTAGGATACGCATTTTGTAACTTTGATGTAGATTCAAGTTTTAATTGAAAATAAAAAGTCGCTAAATATTCTCTTAAAAGTTCCATCAACACTAATAGTTTACCAGTTAATTTATACGTATTGTTACACTTATTAATCTGTTCTCGGTAACTATCCATAAAGGTTTTAAATTCGATTTCTGGTTGAAAGCAGTTTGCTTCTATGAAATCGTTCGTAGTTGACTGTATATCTATAAGACGTGCATCAATATACTGGTCTTTTAAAGCTAGTGTACCTAGGTTTATCAGACTATCGGATACTGAATAAATTCCATAATTTTTTTCTACGTTACTCATCTTCGATAATTTTAAAAATAGCGACTTCCAATTTTTTATTACTTCTGGAATATTCTTCAATTCATTCCTCAAATCACCTTTACATGACTCAACGACTTCTGTTACTTGGATTTTTTCACATTTATCTTTTAAGCATTTCGCTAATTCTGAATACTGCACAAAAAAATATGCACTATTGCAGCTTAGTAGTAAATGCATCTGTTTTGCTTTATGACTTAATGTCTCGCTAGTGACTGAATTAGCATTGGCTATTTCTTCTATGGTGACTTTATTACCATTTTCATTAATACATAAAAGTGTCTTTAATTCTTTCCATATTGGTTGTTGGCATATTGATTGTAAGAATTTAACATTATCATCATTCGCATTTATCATACCAATGGCGTTGACGATATATAAAACAAAATATGAATATTCTAAATGCATTTTTTATGTTCGATATGAAATTCTTTTTACAATTATTATTTTTTTTAAAATACGTGACTTTTATATAAAAATGAAAGATGAATTTTATATTTATATAACAATATTTGTATAAAGTGACATAAACTACACAAATAATGATAAAATAAGTTATTATTCTGACCTAATTTATAAAAGATTAAATAATGCACTTAAATAAAAGTGACGCAATCGGTAATCAAAGATGAATGCATTATTAGCAAAAATAATGAAGCTTAATTTTCATTTTGCCATTATAAATTTGTTTGAAATATTGTTATAAATATATAATAAAATGTCAATAAATATAATAGCTTGTCCACAATTTCTATATACACAGATTAAAATTCTTCTATGTAGCGCAACCTGCTCGACTAACAATTCAAAAAATAATAACACAACATTATTCTCGATCTAATAATAAAATAATAATAATAATTTCACATTGAGCTTCTGAAGTTATAACTAAAATCTAACTTTAGGAATAATATTTTCACAAAAAACCTTGATATTTACTATGGTACGTAATAATAAAATAAATTAAAATATTGTTATAAATATATAGTAATACAACAGTGTTGCCAAAATGTCTCTTAGCCTCCTCTAGCTAAACCACAAAACATTAATATTTCAAAAATTTCTAGTGATGTTCGATTTTTGAACCAAACTGGTCCAAACATGTGAAGTTTGATTTAATTCAAAAATTTAACTTAAAATTTAAAATTCGAATCGAACATATTCCTCTTGTAACTCGATAAGAAAATCTAATTATTATATCAAGTATATATTTTTATAAATTAATTTAATTTTCAAAACATTTAGCGTGATACCACGCCGAATTTGTCGAAAAAATATACAAAAATGTTCTGCTTGAAAATTATTAAAATTGATGGAAAAAATGCAATTTTTAATTACAAAAATAAAACAAATGTTTTTTGTTATAAACCCACAAAATAAAGTGAGTGTTTTATAAGCTTAGTAATTTTTCTCTTTACAAAAATTTAAAATTTTCAATAGTTACTGAGTAATCGAGTGTCTTATCCTTAATGAATCACCCTGTATATTGCTCAGGTTATTGTTTTCATTATTTCTACTGCGCCTGTATGATCATTTTTAGATCGTATACATTTTAGTGTTTACAATAATTTTGATATTTCAACATTTTTTTGTTAATATATTTTAAATATATATTTTAATATGTTGGGTTCAGTTCATATATTAATTTCTCCAGCAGAGGCATTAGGTGAGGACATTGAAAAATTAATTATAAATAGATCTTCTATTCGAAACTCACGCATGCGTTTCCGTAAAGAACGCGCTGAAAAAATCCGTAATAATTATTTGGTAACTATTAAAGATTCCGTTGTCATTCATTGGGATGGTAAACTTTTACCTTCATTGACAGGACAAAAAAGTGTTGATCGACTTCCCATTATTGCTTTATGTAATGGTGAGAGTCAATTACTAGGAGTTCCAGCAATTGATATGGGAACAGGGGTTGATCTCGGACTGATGCTATTTTTCATATACTTATTGATTGGTGTACTACAGGAAATGTACTGACTTTTTAATGTGATACTACGGCTTCAAATATGGGTAGATTGAAAGGTACTTGCATGTTATTAGAAAATTACTTAGAATTAAATATTTTGTACATGTCGACACCACATCTACGAGCTTGTATTAAAATGTGTTTTTGAAGTTAAATTACGTCTAATATCTAGTCCTGATGTACCAATATTTAAACGGTTTCAACAAAATTGGAGAAATATAGATACTAACAAATTTGAGCCAGGTATAATGAACGACATTGTAAAAAAAACATTAAAAGATGTATGTACCGATGTAACTATCTTCGCAAACAACTATTTTTGATACTAATGTTCCATTTGATACAAAGAGAAAAATTATAGCTGCTTTAAAAATCCATACAGATGATGATGTACCAAAAAAATATTTATTGAATACAATAGGAAGCTACTGGATATTAATTAAAAATCTTGAAGATTTTATTTGTGGAAAATCAATGCAATTTTTCTAACGTTTTAATATAGAATATAGTTTTCTGATCATTGATAATTTCAAGATATCAATAGACCTTATTAATAGCATTAATTTAGTTAATGATATAGCTGAAAGGGGTATTAAACTAATGAAAGAGTTTAATACGAAAATAATAGACGATGAAAAACATAAACAATATTTGCTTCAAGTAGTAAATGATTACCGCAGTAAATATCCTAATTTCAAAAAGAGTACTCTTTTAGATAATTAGTTCAATGATTAATATTTTGTTTTATGTTTGATGCGTTTTTGTAAATTCTTTTTCGTATCATAAAATTAACACTGAATTCACTTTATTTTGTGAGTTTTTAACAACAAAATAATTTATATATTGACTTTTTATAAATACACAATAAGTAAATCAAAAAATTGTTCAAAGTATAATTTATGTAAAATATTATTTTAAAAAACTTTTATTCTTACAATTTTGTTGTGAATCCATTATTTCACGCGTTGAACTAAAAAATAATGAAAAATGTATGGTTATACAAAATTTTTCAGTTTGAAAACTATGCCTTTTGTGATACGGGTTAATCTTTTCTGATTACCTGAAACATTGCGTACCTCATTTTTATAAGTATTGGAACTAATTGAGATTGTATAATTTTAGAAAAGGTAAGTTTTTAAAATGATCCCTATTCACTAAAACCACCCTAATGCCCATTTGGTTATTAAAAAAGTTGAAGTGTTCTTAGANACCACCCTAATGACCATTTGGTTATTAAAAAAGTTGAAGTGTTCTTAGAGAAAGCAAGAGTAACAGTCAGAAAATTTCAAAGGAGCATCGAAATATTGGAGTCACTGTATTCAGAATGGAGAAATTTGAACAAAAGCTCTAACAGGACATCATTGAACCACGAAAATAAGGAAAAGGGTTTCATTGGAAAATTTAACAAATTGTTCAACATTTCACATGGAAATGATGACTATTGAAGAAGATAAATTATTTTTGATGTGTCAACGAGATAAGAAAAGAAAAGGTTGCATGGCTAGTTCAGATTATTACTTATACTTACAGGAAAAACATGAACTAACACAAAAAAGTTTGAAAGAGCAAAGAGATTTGAAACTTCAAAAATCTTAATTTATGTCCAGTAAGTATTTTATTATTAATACTTCATTAGTTCATAAATTAATTAACAGCAAGTTTTTTTTTAGACAAGGTAGCTATTTTATACAGTAGTACAAGTAGTATAAGTAGTAATGAAATAGCCAACATGTCTTGTGATGTTTCCGATTCTAATTTCAATGATGAAAATGAACCTGGAGCATCCTGTTGAAAAAGAAAAAGAGGCAAACGATAGTTTATTACATTAAAACTTGTTGCCGCTTTTAACAAATGTAAGGTAAGTGATAGAAATGCCGTACACATGTTAATAACAACTGTAGAGACTCTACATTTAGATTCTAGTGAGTTGGTTATTAACCGAGCTTCTATTCACCGTTGTCGTAAACTTCTAAGGACCGAAAACGCACAAAAAATTTTTGAGAAGTTTCATGAAAAAAATATTAGATCAGTTACTGTTCATTTCCATGGCAAATTATTGCCATCACTAACTAGTAATGTAAAAATTGATAGGCTACCTGTACTTATAAGTGTCAATGGTAATGAGCATCTTCTTGGCGTTCCTTTTATTAAATCAAGTACAGGAAGAGAACAAGCTTCAGTAATTCATAGTTTATTAGTAGAATGGGATATTGAAAATAAAGTTCAGGCTATTTGTTGCGACACAACAGCCTCTAATATGGGAGATTATAAGGTGCTTGTATTATTTTAGAGCAATACCTCGACAGGGACCTTTTATACTTACCATGTAGGCACCACATATTTGAAATAGTTTTAAGAAGAGTATTTGATCAAAAAATTTCAAAAGAGTTGGCCACAGATTAAAGACTGTACAATAAATCCAGGTTTGAAGATATTACCGTTAAAACACAATTAAACGGCTTAGAAAATGAATTAATTTTGTTTCTAATGGAAAAAATAAAAATAAATCTACCAAGAGAAGACTATAGAGAACTTCTTAATTTAGCAATTATTTTTCTTGGCGGTGATCATTATACAAATATTTCTATTAGATCTCCTGGAGCTTATCATCACGCCAGATGGATGGAAAAAGCCATTTATTGTTTAAAAATATTTCGAGAGTCTTTCGAGCTAACAAAAGACGAACGGGTTGGTATTCGTAATGTTTGTATATTTTTAGTAAGAATTTATTTAAAATACTGGTTTTCTACAAATAATTCTATCGAAGCTCCTCGTATGGACTTAGAATGCATAAAAAATCTTTATGAATACATAAAAAATCACGATGCCGTAGGTTTAATAGTACTTAAAAAAATTAGCAACCACTTAAGGTATCTCGCGCCTGAAAAGGCCTCAATGGCATTTTTTGTTGATAAAATACCTGTTGAAATAAAAAGACTTATGGTAAAATCATTACAAAATAATGAATTTGAAGACTTAATAAAAATTAATCCACCAAGAAATATAAAACATTTTGTAAGTAAAACTATTGACAGGTTCATTAATGCAAACTCAAAAAAAAATTTTAAACGTTTTGATATGAAA